TGTAGTCATAATAAGAACTATAGGATTGGTCCTGCCACATTTGCTGTGGCTGGGGAAATGTCTGTGGGGGCCCACCACAAATAGTGTGGGCCCAGGTGGTTGCCCACAGGCATTACCAGTTGATAACATCACTATTGATAGGTTGAGAGTGACCCTAAGCAACCAATACACATTCATATGGCTGAAAGTTACTAAAATATTTATTTTGTTATCTTTATTTTTCAAGGCTACTGTTTAGCTGGATAGCAGATTATGGGAATAGGGCAAGTTAAAACACTAAAAACTCACTGTTCTTACTTACATTCATTAGTAATCATTGAATAAGTGCTCCCTGGGTTGCTGTAAGTCTTTCAACAGTCAATTATGAGACATACAAATAAACAAGGAAGTATGGCCCATAGAAAAGAAGAAACTATTCTTGAAAAAGCCCAGGCATTGGATTTTAACTAGACAAATACTTTAGGTTTTCATATATTTTTGTCTTTATATTTACTTTATTGGGTGGTTTGGAGATGCCATTTTTGGCTATTCTGATGCCATTTTAACCTGGCTTTTCCTGCTTAGCATAATGTTTTTGAGATTCACTCATTTTGTATATTAGTAGCTTGTTTTTATTTTAAGAATGGAATCTTAACTGGTTATTGCTGGTATGAAATGTTATTTTTTGAATTTATTGGATATGCTTTGGCCTGCTAGTTTTTTTCAGTTAATTTTCTTTTTTCCACCAAATATATGGTTACATAATCTATTAATTGTAACATTTTGGTCTTCTCCCTTATGTTATTTATACATGTACTATTTCTTTTCATGTTGCATTGGGCCTCATCTGTCTAATGTTTTATCATGAAATATATTTTGCAGGAATCTGCAAATATCTCCTGTGGGGTTAAGTTTTTTTCTATTTCTAGTTACTCTTTACTCAGATATAGGTGTTGAATTTTATTGAAGGTTATCCTCAGCAGTTACTGAGTTGATCATATAAATTTCCATGTTAATCTGTTAATTTTATAAACTAGGAATGAATTATCCATGCAGTTTTGGGAAAAAATTTCCTTGGTCCAGATTTATTGTTTCTAAATATGCTGATTAATTTCATTTGCAAATATTTTAATTGGGATTTTTGCATTTATGTTCACAAGTAAGGTAAACTATAGGTTTCTTTATTAAGATATTTTAAATCCATATTTGATATTGCTACATTACCTACATGAAATGTGTTAGAAATTTCTTTATTATGAAATATTTTCAATTGTAGAACAAGTGCTCATCACTCAGATTTTTCAAAATTTAATATTTTTGTCATATTCACTTCAGATTGTTTAAACAAATAGAAAATTACAAGTAAAGTAGAGATCCCCTTTGTACATCTTTCCAATCAATCTCTCCCTCCTCAGATGTGAACAATATCCTGAATTTGGTGTTCATTATTGTTGGATTTTTATACTTTAATGATATATTTATAAACCTAAAAGGTTGTAAAGAATTTTTTTTTTTTGCAGGATTTCACATTTACTAGTTACTTAGTATATTTATTTTATTTTATTTATTTTTTAAAGATTTCTGTATTTATTTGAGGGTGGGGGAAACACAAGTGGGAGGGGCATAGGGAGAATGAGAGAGAATCTCAAGCAGACTCCATGCTGAGTGTGGAGCCTGATTCCGGGCTCAATCGCAGGACCCTGAGATAATGACCCCAGCTGAAACCAAGAGTCAGACACTTAAATGACTGTGCCACCCAGGTGTCCTTAGTTAGTATATTAATGAAAAGCTAAGTTTCAGGAGCCAGATAGTCTTGGTTTGAAATTCCCAACTATAATAATGAAATTTTCTATTTCTCTTTTCAGTTTTGTTAGTTTTTAAAAAAATGTCCTTTGAGGCATCGTCATTAGTGCATACTTGTATGTCTTCTGAGAGACTTGACTCTTGTATTATTATGAAATGATCTTGCTAGTATTTCTTGTTTGAAGTGAAGTCTGCCTTTTCTGATATTAATATAGCCACTCCAGTTTTCTTATGATTAATGTTTGTATGTTATAACTTCCTTCATCCTCTTACTTTTAACCTATTTGTGTCTTTATACTTAAAGTAGGTTTCCTATAGCAATCGTATTGCAGGATCTTGTCTTTTTCTGCAGTGACAGTCTGTGTCTTTTAACTGGAGTGCCATTCACATGTAATTACTGATAAGGTTGGGTTTACATTTACTATCTTGCTATTTGGTTTCTATTTGTTACATTTGTTTATGTTTTTTTTTCTCCTCTTTACCTGCCTTCTTTTAATTATATTTTTAAGCATTTTATGCTATTTTGTACTATTAGCTTATTTACCTCTTTATTGTTTTAGTGGGTGTTATGGAGTTTACACTGTGCATATTTAACTTATATCCTTATACATAATATGCCATTTCACATATGATATAAAAAATTTACAGAAATATATTTCTTTTCCTTTCTCCCATCATTGTGCTATTATTAATGCATGCTTCATATCTATGTATGTTGTAAAACAATACATTATTAATTTTATTTAAACCATCCATTATGTTTTTAAAAATCTTTAAAAAGAGAAAATCTTTTTTATTTACACACATATTTAATAATTCTATTACTTATTTCCATTGTGTGCATTCAAGTTTTGATCTGATATCATTTTGCTTTTACTCAAAGAATTTCCTTTAACATTTCTTGTAATGTAGGTTTGATGGCAATGATTTTTTTCACCTTTTTTTGCTGAAAAAGTATTTCACCATCAGTTTTGAAAGATATTTTTGCTGGATATAGAATTTTATGTGGACAGTATTTTTCAGTATAGGTACTCTAAATATTTTTGCTTCATTGTCTTCTGGCCTACGTAATTCTGATAGGAAGCCTGCAATGTTAGTTTGTGGTAATTAGTTGCCAGGAATTATTAGTTTCTTTGTAGTTAATGTTTCTCTGGATGCTTATAAGATTTTTTTCTTTATTATTAGTTTTCTTAATTTGATTATAATGTGCTTGGCATGGTGTTCTTTGTGTGTTTCTGCTTAGAATTCATGGAAATTTTTGCCTCGGGTTTATAGCTGTCATCAAATTTGGAAAAATTTGGCCATTTTTTGGTAGAAATATTTTCTGCTCCCTTCACACTGCCCTTTCTGGGACTCTAATTAAATATTATGTTAGACTGAGTATTAATTTTATTTCAGTTTTTATTTTTCTCTGTGATTCATTTTATGTTGTTTCTATTGCTATGTCTTCAAGTTAACAAATATTTTCTTCTATAATTCTACTCTGTTATTAATGCCACTCAGTGAAATTTTTATTTCAGATAATGTGTTTTATCTAGATATTCCATTTGATTCTGTTTTTATATCTTCCATTTGCTCCTCATTATATTTACATCTTTGAACATTTTAATATTTATATTAGAAATTTCAAGATCCTTATCTGCTTATTCCAATATATCTATCATTTCTGGGTTTTTTTCTAATGATTTTTCTCCTGGTTATGTGCTACATATTTATGCTTCTCTATGTGACTAGTAAAATTTGATTGAGTGCTGAACATTGTGAATTTTACGTTGTGGAATATGGGATTTTGTTGTCTTCCTTTAAAAAGTGTTGGAGTTTGTTCCAATAGTCTGTTAAACTCCTTGAAGATTGGCTTGATATTTTCAAGTATAATTTTAAAATGTTGTTAAAGTCCTAAGAAGCCTTTACTCTAGAGCTAATTTAGTACCACTATTAATGTCTGACCCTTCTGAGTTTATAATGAATGTACCATGTATTCAGCCTGTCTGGTGGGAGAGCTGATGATTCCCAGCCTTGTGTGAGCTTTGGAAATTGTGGTTATAGTTCTTTGGTAATTGTCTCCTCCCACCCCCCCCCAGCAGTCTGCCTTCATGGGTTTCACTATTGTATGAACAGATTGGTATTCAGTCAATAACTGAATACCTGATGCAGATTTCTGGAGCTCTTTTTCTATGCTGTTTCTTCCTCTCCATACTATGTCCTACAGTTTCTATCCTCTTTGTCTTTCCCTTACTCTAATATCTGTTTCTTCAACTTAGTGAGATACTTGGATTCTATGTTGTTTCCCCCCACCTTGTGTTGTGGTCTGGGAATTGTGAAGGGCAGAAATCTGGGTTGATTTTCCTCTTAACCTTTTTTGGTTTCCGTTATCGTAGTCATTATAGTTGTACACTGCTTGTTGCCCAGTCCAAAAAGAGTTGTTCTTATATTTTGCCCAATTTTATAGTTATTTGTGTTAGAAAGGCTGAAGTAGAAGCTAACAGCCTCAGTTGGATCTTCTCAATAAAGCAAAGAAAAAGTAGTGTGTTAAACTACAATGAATGTTTATATCTTGCTATGGATGTTATTAAAGTCTAGAGGAGAAAGGGGCTGTCGAAAGTTATGTAGTTGAATCCCCATTTTAAAGATGATAAAACTGAGGTGAAGAGGAGCAAAATAACTTGCCTGTTGATACCTGGTCTGTGACTTTACAGTTTGGGCAGGAGCTGGGTCTCTTTATTTCTATTCATTGTTAGATGTTGTGGTGTGCTATCTTCTTACCACTTCAGCTGAATGAGATTTTATCATAGCAATTAGCATTAGTAATGATAAAAATGATATTAACAGTTATACTCATTAAAATTTAAAGTATATTCATATTCCTTCTTGCTTTGGGTTAGATTAAATTTTAGTTTTGATTTTCTCTTTCTGTGCAGCCATTTAATGGCAGTGTTTTACAGAATCTGTACCTTTACCTAATTGTCTTATTAAATCTGATGTTATATCTATAGATATCAATAATTTAAAAAGCCATGAAATTGGAATAATGGACAAAATATTTTTATTGTATCTTTTGTTTTATACTTCCTATTTACTACATAATATTACCTAGCTTAAATTTCTCTTTTATATATTCCTCACTGATGAAATGCCTGGAATTTTGCTGCATTGACTAATACACCTCTATGATTTTAAAAACTGGCATTATTTTAATTGTTTTCTTTTTCTTCTTCAAGGATATATCTTTAATGGGGAAAGTGTACTGTCACAAGCCGTCTCAAGTGCAAGCAGAACAAGGATTACAGATAAATCTTGAGGAACCTCAAATGGTAAAGTTTTTAATAAAAATCCTCCTTGCCTATATTGAAGTAGTGGTCTGTGTCTTGTTGCTTGAATGCTTATCTAGATAGTTTAAAAAACAAAACCTCCCCTAATTTATTTTAGAAGTGTGTTTAGCTGTAAGAACATCTAATCCAATATCACATCGGGACTCTTGGTTGTTTTCGCTCACCATTGCTGCGTATCATAGACCTTCTGAGCTAAGGCCTCATTCATTTCTGAAGGGAAAGATTTTAACAATTCCTCTGGTCTAGGCATTTAGATTCAGAAGGTAGTTGGAGAGTTAATTAAAGGTTATTAGCTTGTAAGAAAGCATCACCCTATTTTTTATTTAGCTAGCAAAATTGTTTATAGCATTGATGAGGGAAAATTTTGTAGAGAAATATGGACTGTTGGTGACTGAAGTTTGTTTCAGAAATAAAGCTTCCTTTTTGTCCATCATTGGCAAAGTATTTATAGGATTCAAAGCAATCTGGAATATATTCCCTATGGATAGAACATGTCTCCCTGTGTATAGAAATCCACATTTACATAAAACAAATCATTGCACCATGATCATTTCCTTTGTAAAATATTGTTAAATAGCAAGCTCCTTTAGTTCCTGAAAATATGAGTCCACACATATAAAAATTCAGATTATACTTCATTTTTATCATCATATGTTATGGTTAGAAAATATATGGAATCTTTTCACAAAAGCCATGGATCTTATGATGTTAGAGTTTCCGCAACTGGTTGAACTACCAGAGTTTGAAATGCTTCTGGGTTGAGACCATGCCTTTTTCTGCTTTGTATTCTCATCTCTTACCTCAGGACCCCCGCATGTGTGATGCTAATATGTATGTACATCAATTTTGAAGCCTTCCCACATATGCTTTGGACTTAAAACTGACAACTGGGGTAGCTTCCTCTAGGGAACACCATTTACAGGTAGATATCGAAACCTCTGATATGTAAGCTTCTAATAGGTATAGTAAACTGAAAATAAAAGATTAATCAGGTATAGAAAAATAGAAATTCTTCATTAATACCATCTGACTTAAAACCATTCACTACACTTGTGTAAAGTATAAGAAAAGATAACATTTTTCAGGAAAATATGAAAAAGGCCAAATATCAGTTACCTAACTTAGACATCATCTTGACTATTTAAAATAAAGATTTAAACAAAAATATTGATTTCTTTGTAATTCTGTGGGAACCATTCTCTCAGCTTTGACATTTACAAGCAATCAGTGGACCTCTTCTGGCCACTGGCTTTTTATTTTTATTTTTTTTAAAGATTTACTTATTTATTTTAGAGAGAGAGAGAGAAAGAGAGAGAAAGTGAAAGTGCATGGGGGAGGGACAGAGGGAGAGAGAGGAGAGGGAGTCTTAAGCAGACTCTGAACTGAGCATGGAGCCTGATGCAGGACTCGATCTCATGATCCTGAAATCATGACCTGAGCTGAAACCAAGAGTCAAATGCTTAACTGACTGAACCACCCAGGCACTCTTGGCCACTGGCTCTTTAAGGGGTAAAATACCTTTTAACTTGCTACCTGGCCATGGTAAAAAGGCTTCTCTGTGATATCTTTCATTCCAGACACTCTGCCAGAGAGCAGAACTCTATCTGTCCATCCTACCTGTCCCTTAGACTTCTAGAAGTTTCCTGGGTTGAGATTTATCTGGGGAACACGAGCCAACATGCTGTCATCTGGTTGTGCTGGCATCCTATCCTCAGAGCATGGCAGCCTCACTTGTGAACATCTCAGTGCCACAGGTCAGAGGGCTCTTAGTTCTTTGATGCAACTTATTTTCTTTAAGTACCCACCATTTCAAATATAATAGTTTTTGAATCATCATGGAGAATGACTGCCTCACATACTTATTAAAAAAATCAAAGAGTTTATTCATTCATTCCTTTTCCTACAATGTGGTAAGCATTGTTTTAGACATGGTTAATACAATGATAGAAAAGACAGTTCTTGACCTTGAAGAACTCATTTTATGGAGTAGACTAATATATAAAGAGACACAGTATAATACTGTTTAATGATTATTCTAAATAGAGACTAAGTACCTAGCAGAGAAAAAATGGATATAATTTTCTTTCATTTATTTACTCATTCACTTACTCACAGATATTTGCAGATGGTATAAATGCACTAAGTAAAGATGGGTAAGACACATTTACTTTTTTAAGGAATTCTCAGACTTTAACATTTTAAAGTACTTAAACTTTCTGGTCTCAGGATGCCTTTAAACTTTTTTTTAGAGTTTAAATATTCTTTTTTAAAAATTTTAAATTCAATTAATTAACATATAATGTATTATTGGTTTCAGAGGTACAGCTCTGTGATTCATCAGTCTTATATAATACCCAGTGCTCATTACAACACATGCTCTTCTTAATGTCTATCACCCAGTTACTGGAGGATGCCTTTAAACTCTTGAAAAATATTTTAAGGACTCAAAGGAGTTTTTGTTTATGTGGATTGTATCAACCAATGTTTACCATAATAGAAATTAAAACTGAGAGAAATATAAAATATTTATTCATTCATTTAAAATAATAAGCCAATTACATATGAACATATATTGTTTTAGAAAAAAATAGTATCCCCCCAAAATTTAGCAAGAACATTTTTTTGCAAATCTGTATAATACCTGGTTTAATAGAGAGCTAGAGTCTCAGATCTGTTTCTTCATTAAATGTGTTGTGTATGTTCTTTTGGTTGAAATATACTATGTAAGCCTGGTCTCATACAGATTAAAAAGGGAATAATATTTTAATAGCTTCTTAACATAATTATGGGTACTATTCTTTATTAATACACCAAAACTGTGCAAGTGGTAGTTTCTTAAAGATGAGTTGCAATGAGGAATCTGAAACAAGATAAATTAACTTATTGTATATCATTAAAGTCCATTGGTCTACCTTGCTCTTTGAATGGCTCTTTAACCCCTGCATACTTTTGTAATCTCATGTTCTAATCATATGAAAAGTATTGGTTCACTGTTTTACCCACTGCTGCTTTTCCATCATCAGTGCAAAGGTCAACACAGTGAAAAAGGCAAATAAGGCTTAGTATTATTATGAAAATAGCTTTGACATTGCAGATCCCCTAAAAGGGTCTCAAAGATTGTCAGGAGTCTGTGGACCACACTTTGAGAAGTGTTAGTTGATTGGAAATAGGAGAAAGAGGGTAAGAAAGTGCAGTTTGGATTCAGGTTGTCTAGGTTCAAACAGAGCACTGCTACTTCCTCTCAGTGTGACTTTGGGCAGGTTTCTTAACTTTTTGAGCCTCAGTTTCTTCATCCACAAAATGGGGTTGCAAACAGTTCCTGCTTCATGGAGTTGTGGTGAAGATTAAGCTTAAATGAGATAATGCTCATATATGTCAATGATTATGATTATGATAATGATTACTTAGACAATTACAATACAGTGTGATGCATGCTGAAACAGAGGCATGGCACAGAGTAATGGCAGGATCAGTAAAGGTTTGGTGGCAGAAGGAAGGCTGGGCAGAGTCCTGAAAAGGGTCATTTGCAGCTACAGGATTGCCGTTGCCCTCTCCTCAAGCTCCTCTTCCTCCGTTTTCTATTTTGGGGAGTGGTACCTTCATCTGTTCACTCTCCCAAACCGGAACCCTGGGAGTGTGTGTTGAAGCCAGGAGAAGAAGGGCAATTGAAAAGAAAGGGAGGGGGAGGAGCAAGATGGCAGAGGAATAGGAGACCTAAATTTCATCTGGTCCCAGGAATTCAGCTAGATAGG